ACGCTACATCCTTTTTAGTAACTCTACGGAGCTGTTGCAACGATAGGTCAACTTCACCGGTTGTCAATAATAACTATTTATTACGCATTTAAAGAATAATTTGCATGTTTACTATGGAATACACGTTTGTCTTTTTAATAATTGTAAGGGAGTGCATAGTCCTTTACTAATAGAAGGGGTAAACTAACCACGGGAACAATGAAATGATTATCGTCGTCCATGAAGATTTACTATATCAGAGCAACTATAGATGCAATGCCGGCCTGTGAGAGGACGGTACTCTCGTCTCCTGAAGAGCCCTAAGTAGTAAACGTTTTGAAATACCATCCATCATTACGGAGATCAAATAAATGGTTATTCATATAAAATGTATGAGTATTAGTTTCTAAACTATAGGTTTGACTGGACTGATTCCGTTTTAATTCGGATAAGACATTAAAATTGAAAAAAAAAGCATTGAGAATACAATGATATAATGTTTACATGAATGAACTCGTTTAAATTAAGTAGGCTGCGTAGTAGCCACGCTTCCGTAGTAAACGCGTCACTACTCCGCAGCACTACGCCTTTACAAGTCGCCGCGCAAATGACATGTTTATTATTGTGTAATCAACGTACTCATAGCAATCTCTTACGATGGACATAAAAAATTAACCAACCTACATTTGGAACCTGTTACAAATTACTGTTACTGACCATTTTACAGATGAATATGTGATCACGCTTTGACATAGCTACATGGCCAAAGCACGCCAAAGTACGAATTAATATGAGATATTGATATGATATATGTATCTTTGTTCTTATACATGCATTAGGTGGATACATTATTTTAAACATTTAAATCGCTGATAAACAACAGTGATAGAGTAAAGTAGGTTTGAATAATTCACCCCACTGGAACAAATACTATCAAATTTCAATACAGACATCAAAAATCGTAGGATTACTATATCCAGCAAATATTTCTGAGTATATCATCTACATAAAATATCTACTCAAAAGTCAAAAGGTAGTTAAACACTTGAGTTTGGACGAGGTTACTTTTAAGAGGTGAAGCCCAACGAAGTTTTAAGATGTCGCACGGACCTATCAATGACAAGTACGCGTGGTGTCGCCTCAGGGCGCGATCCACAGGGCCATGTCGCAGATTTGGGGCGAGGTATCACGGAGCCAATATAAAAGCTTTCACTTCTCCTAAAGTGCAACTACAGGCTTAGAACAAGTTTGGTATGTATGTAAAATATGTTTTAAGAATCGAAGATTAAATTAACTATAACGTTAAGGGTAAACAAGTACA